GTAACAGACATAAGAACTACAAGATAAATTGGACATTGTTTTAATTAGTAGTTATTGAATTACGTTTTATTACAGCTGTTATGATTTTATTGATGTTAAAGTTTTTATATTGTAATTGTGTTTTTGGTGGCACTGAATTTTGCCTTGTAAACCGCCTCGAGTCGCTGGAAGGCTGAGAGTGGCGGAATACAAATACTGTAAATTAAAAAAAATGTAGTCGTGCCAGCCACATGACCTTGGAGGAGTCTATGGACAACGCCAGCTCTTTGGCTTAGAAACGGAGATGAGCACCAAAAATCCATTAGGCAGAAAGGGGTCACAAGTGTAAAAAGTGTAAGAAGCCCGGATCTAACCGTTAAGCAAATAGGCTTCAGCCATTCTTGTTGGAAAATGCATGTCAATAAACTTTGTTTTGTAAATTACTCTTACTGTTAAAATTAGAAAGCATAACACATGCTCCTTTATTAATAAAATCTTGGGAGGATAATGATATGCACATTTCAGCCATTCCTCATTGTTCTGTTTTGTGCCATCTGTTCACACATCCACAGTGGCAAAGGCTTCCTAATTTAAAAATTAGGGAGTGGGATGTGTGTGTGGATTTTCAGTATCTGTTCTGCTTGATGGCCTGGAAATGTTTCTTCGTTTCTAATTTAGACTTTAGCTAATTCTTGCACTATTTTAAAATAGCTTAATTTTGTTGGGAAGTACTCAATACCATTTGGTTAGCACTGGTATTATTTAAGACTTGGTAGAGGTATCAGTGCAAGACAATCTATATATATATATATATAAATGCTCTGTGCATAATGAGTACCTTAAAAACAAAAGAACCAATGAACGAAATCACATCAAACTTGGCAACAAAATGTCTCACAACACTAGGAGTGACCATCCCTCAAAAAATTATGATTTTGTCATTTGGGAGTTGTAGTTGCTGGGATTTATAATTAACCTAATATTATTATTGTTGCCTGCCATAGCATTGCACTTAATTCCTGGGCCCCCTAGAATTTTTGGGCTTGCACAAATCTTGGTCCGGCCTTTTAAATTTTTAAATTGCCTTGAACAGGCAGTTATTCATCAAGTTTGAGAGATGGAACTATATATAAATAAAGTTGTATTACTATTATTATGATCCTGCCTTCTAACCCTTCTCCATTTTTTCTAGGTAGACCTGGTAAACAAACTAGTCAAATGTGGGCTAGACAAAACTATGGTTAGGTGGATCTGTAATTGGTTAAGTGAACAAAGGAAGGGTTGTTGTAGGTTTTTTTGGGGTTGTATGGCCTTGTTCTAGAAGCATTCTCTCCTGACATTTCGCCTGCATTTGTAGTGCTTCTCACCAATGCTTCGTCTTCATCCTGGAAAGAAGTGATGAGTAGAAAAAAGCGAATGGGATTTTGGCCTGCATCAATAGGAGCATAGTGTCTAGATCTAGGGAAGTAATGCTCCCCATGCTCTATTCCGCTTTGGTTAGACCACACCTGGAATATTGTGTCCAATTCTGGGCACCACAATTCAAGAGAGATATTGACAAGCTGGAATGTGTCCAGAGGAGGGCGACTAAAATGATCAAGGGTCTGGAGAACAAGCCCTATGAGGAACGGCTTAAGGAGCTGGGCATGTTTAGCCTGAAGAAGAGAAGGCTGAGAGGAGATACGATAGTCATGTATAAATATGTGAGAGGAAGCCACAGGGAGGAGAGAGCAAGCTTGTTTTCAGCTTCCCTGGAAACTAGGATGTGGAGCAATGGCTTCAAACTACAAGAGAGGAGATTCCATCTGAACATGAGGAAGAACTTCCTGACTGTGAGAGCCGTTCAGCAGTGGAACTCTCTGCCCCGGAGTGTGGTGGAGGCTCCTTCTTTGGAAGCTTTTAAACAGAGGCTGGATGGCCATCTGTCAGGGGTGATTTGAATGCAATATTCCTGCTTCTTGGCAGAATGGGGTTGGACTGGATGGCCCATGAGGTCCCTTCCACCTCTATGATTCTATGAAAGGAGATTCCACCTGAGCATGAGGAAGAACTTCCTGACTGTGAGAGCTGTTTAGCAGTGGAACTCTCTGCCCTGGAGTGTGGCGGAGGCTTCTTCTTTGGAGGCTTTTAAACAAAGACTGGATGGTCATCTGTCAGGGTTGCTTTGAATGAAATTTTCCTGCTTCTTGGCAGGGGGTTGGAGTGGATGGCCCATGAAGTCTCTTCTTCGTGGGCCATCCAATTATGATTCTAATTGAAGACTACTATGGTATACTGCACTTTTAAAAACCTATATGTGTTTAGGTTTGCTTTATTTGAAACAAAGTTTTGTGAAGTCAGGAATTTTGAACAAGCTCAAACTTCAAGTACCCTGTTAATAATGCAATAAAACACTTTGGACTTTTTATTTTGGCCTTAAAGCACTGGTGGCAACCACAAGTTGAAACAAATGTGATGCAAGCTCAGAGACATTTCCTCAAAACCACGATTTAAAGCTGGCCTCGGCATAGTGTTCTCCTTTCCTCCCTCCCTCCTCTCAAGATAGAGGGAGAAGCAGGAGGGGAAATGTTTTTTTCCCTATGGAGATTTGGCAGCAACTCACCTCTTTCAGCTGCAAATCAGAGCTGAAGATAAGTCTGGAAGCTGGTGGCTTAAAACATGTGCTTATTTGAGGATAACAAGTTTTATGTTTTGAAAAAAAAAAGCATTTTAGTTTGGTTAATTTCCTAATATATATAGATGAATTCAAATCTTTATTTATAGCAACCAGTATAGATCCCACCTTACAATCATCCATCCATATCTGTAGAGTGGGAACCCACAGAGGCATAATGAGTTAAACCCTTGTGCTGGCAGGACAGCGGTTTGAATCCGGGTAGAAGGGTGAGCTCCCATCTGTCAGCTCCAGCTTCTCATTCAGGGACATGGGAGAAGCCTCCCACAGGATGGTAAAACACCCAGGTGTCCTCTGGGCAACGTCCATTCTCTCACACCAGAAATGACTTGTAGTTTCTCAAGTCACTCCTGACACAAAAAAAAAAATCTGTGCAATGTTTACATTAGGTTAGGACAGTGGTTCTCAACCTGGGGTCCCCAGATGTTTTTGGCCTTCAACTCCCAGAAATCCTAACAGCTGGTAAACTGGCTGGGATTTCTGGGAGTTGTAGGCCAAAAACATCTGGGGACTCCACGTTGAGAACCACTGGGTTAGGATATAATTTAACATTTAACACCATTATAAAAGATACTTATAAGTCCCTATTCTCACTGTAGATTTTGAAAAGATAACTCAGATTTTAAAACTATTTCATGTTATTAAATTAAGACTGTATGATTGAATAAGGCAACGAAGTGTTAAGGCAACGAAGTAACAAAATCAGCATCTGATTAAAATGATTGGGTTAGCTTTCTTGTCTATGATGTATAAGAATTTATTTTGGACAAGGAGGCAAAGGAGTTTCACATATGTTTTGTTTTATGTCACATAAATGGCCTGGTCGTGCAGTGGGTTAAACTGCTGAGCTGCTGTACTTACTTTCCAAAAGGTTGCAGGTTCGAATCTGGGAGCAGTGTGAGTTCCCACTGTTAGCCCCAGTTTCTGCCAACCTAGCAGTTCAAAAACATGCAAATGTGAGTAGATCAATAGGTACTGCTCTGGCGAGAAGGTAAGGATGCTCCGTGCAGTCATGCTGACTACATGAACTTGGAGGTGTCTACGGGGTTACATAGGTCCTGAAGTCACAGGTCCGCAGTTTGGGAGTCCTCTTGGATTCATCGCTTACGCTTGAGGCTCAGGCGTCGGCAGTGTCCGGGAGGGCTTTTGCACAATTGAGACTCGTGCGCCAACTGCGAACTTACCTTGTAAAGGCTGATCTGGCCAAGGTGGTCCATGCCTTGGTCACCTCTAGATTGGACTACTGCAATGCGCTCTACGTGGGGCTGCCCTTGAAAATGGCTCAGAAATTCCAGCTAGTCCAGCAGGCGGCGGCCAGGATGTTAACTGGCGCTCCTTACAGAGAGAGGTCAACCCTCCTGTTCAAGGAGCTCCATTGGCTGCCGTTCATTTTCCAGTCCCAATTCAAGGTGCAGGTGCTCACCTACAAAGCCCTGAACAGTTTAGGACCTGCCTACCTGCGTGACCGCATCTCCGTTTACGAACCTGCACGCTCCCTTCGATCATCTGGAGAGGCCCTGCTCACGATCCCACCTGCGTCGCAGGCGCGTTTGGTGGGGACGAGGGACAGGGCCTTCTCTGTGGTGGCCCCCGACTCTGGAACACTCTCCCCAAGGACATCAGACAAGCCCCAACATTGGCTGTCTTTAGGAAGAGCCTGAAGACCTGGCTGTTCCAGTGTGCCTTTCCAGAATAGGAAACTCCTGGTTTTAGTCCCAAATGCGCTTTGCTGGAGACTCAGGAGTATTTGCACATTACACCTACCTCCATATACCTCTACATATTACCTGTCAAGTTCAGCATTTTTAAATTTTGTCCATTACATTGGTCCGGCCTTTAGGTTTTAATTGCGTCACGGTGTTATTGTCCTATTGTTCTGTTGTTTTGCTTGATGTTTATTATTTGCTTATGAGTTTATTGTGTATTGTATGTTGTTGATTGTCGGCAGCCTTGGCATTTGTAAGCCTCCGGGAGATTTTGCGGGGTATAAATAAAGTTAATAATAATAATACGGACAATGCCGGCTCTTCGGCTTGGTAATGGATATGAGCACCAACCCCCAGAGTTGGACACGACCAGACTTAATGTCAGGGGAAAACCTTTACCTTTACCTAAACGGTTGTAACTTGATGTGTACCTGCCAACCGGTTACACTGGTGGCACTTACAGTAATGTTATTCAATGCGATGTGTGTTTGAAGCCCCCTGCCTTGTGAATGCCCACAGTAATGGAGATATTGTAGTTTTCATGTAAAAGCATGCTTCAAGCCTAATTTACATACATAGCTTTAAAAATAGTGACTGTCTTTGAGATGTATGTTTGAATCACTGCCTTGAATCCCTTTTAGGAATAGGAGGATTGCAGGAGTTTGTGTTGAAGTCAGCCACACTCTCATCCTCTCCCGCTTGCCCGCCATTCAATCCACTCAACTTTGAAGCCACACCAATTGTCCGAGTTGCCATTGAGCCAAAACACCCAAGTAAGAGTTTTACCTATGATTTTTGAACATACTATTGGAATATTTTCTGCTTCTTCCAGAATAATCATAAGGGCGGTAGTGGTGCCAGTAGATCATCTGGGAATAATACAGGTATAATATAAGTTCCAGGAGATTGACAAGCCAGAGAAGGGCAACCAAAACCTTCTATAGAAGTTCTTAAGCAGAGGCTGGATGGCCATCTGTCAGGGGTGTTTTGATTGTCTCTTCCTGCCTGACAGAATGGGGTTGGACTGGATGGCCCTCTGGGGTCTCTTCTAACTCTAGGATTCTATAACCAGTGATCCTGGGCACTGCTTCATTAATAGAAAATGTGTACTCATGGCATTCAACAACAATATTTTGGTCTGTGTATAAGTTACATTGAGTAATTTGAATTCATGTTTTGCTTTGATTGCTGTTTATCTGCCTATTGGCGTTGAATGTTTGCCATTTTTGTTATTTCTGTAAACCGCCTTGTGTCTCTATGGAGAGAGAGAGTGGGTTATAAATAAATTATTATTATTATTTGAAACACCACAAAATGAGTCCACAGCAGACACTCTGTTGGCTGTTGAATTGGATCACACATCAGACAATTCCCAAGTGTCTAGGACTGTGTGATATATCGGTGAATAATGCATGCAGATCCCAGTAAGGTGGTCTTCTGCAACTGGCAGATGGTAATCTTGTCAGTGCCGATTGTGTTTAAGTGCAGGCCAAGGTCTTTAGGCACTGCACCCAGTGTGCCGATTACCACTGGGACCACCTTGACTGGCTTGTGCCAGAGTCTTTGCAGTTCGATCTTGAAATCCTCATATTGTGTGAGCTTTTCCAGTTGATTCTCTGCAATCCTGTTATCACCTGGAATAACGACATTGACGATCCATACTTTGTTTTTTAACACGATTGTGAGGTCAGGAGTATTGTGCTTCAGAACTCTGTCTGTCTGAATTCGGAAGTCCCAGAGGAGTTTGGCGTGTTCATTCTCTGTAACATTTTCCGACTTGTGATCCTGGAATTATTTATTTATTTATTTATTTTCAGTGCAGGAGGACTGTCACCAAGGCTATTCAGGCTCCTTTGTGGAGAGAAAATGTGGAGTTATTATTATTATTATTATAAACAACTTTATTTGTATACTACCCTATCTTCCTGAAGGGACACAGGGCAGTTTCCAACGTATGAGGCAAACATTCAATTGCTGAAGAGAAAACCATACAGACACATCAAAATAAAGACATTCGACAATATAACACAACCTAATTTAACTTAACAAACAAAATAACAACTTAAAACAACAGAAAATACAAAAATTCTGTTAAACACACTAAAAAAGTCATTAAAAACCCATTTCATTGTAGCTCTATCAGTAGAAGTTCAGCAAACCAATTGCCAGGATTACAAAATGAATGTGGCCAACTATAAAAAGGGCTGGGCAAGGGATAGTGCAGACAGTCTATCATAGGTCTCGGAAAGTGGATGAAGTGCAGGACAGAGTGCTATCTGGCAACCTAGGGACTGGGCTTAGGGACTATTTATTCTCAAAAAAAATTGCTGAAATATCCAGGTTTTCATTTCCCTATGAAAGGAGGGCAGTGTGGAGGCTTGCCAAATCTCCCTGGGGGAGGGTGTTCCAATAATAATAATAATAATAATAATAATAATAATAATAATAATAATATAAACGAAATCCAGCATAGAGATCTCGTTTGCTGTGACATACTGTGGTTTTGTGTCAACACAACAACAACAACAATAATAACTTGTACCACAAATACCATCTGCCTGCGACAAATAACTGGTGGGATCACAAGCCGGAAAAAGTTACAGAGAATGAACACGTCAAGCTACTCTGGGACTTCCGGTTTCAGACAGACAGAGTTTTGGAGCACAACACTCCTGACCTCACAATCGTGTTAAAAAACAAAGTATGGATTGTCGATGTCGCAATCCCAGGTGACAGCAGGATTGAAGAGAAACAACTGGAAAAGCTGACACAATATGAGGATTTAAAGATCGAACTGCAAAGACTCTGGCACAAACCAGTCAAGGTGGTCCCACTGGTGATCGGCACATTGGATGCCTAAAGACCTTGGCCTGGACTTAAACACAATCAGCGCTGACAAGTTTACCATCTGCCAGCTGCAGAAGGCCACCTTACTGAGATCTGCTCGCATTATTCACTGATACATCACACAGTCCTAGACACTTGGGAAGTGTCCGACGTGTGATCCAATATAACAGCCAGCAGAGTGATCTTGTCTGCTGTGGACTCATCTTGTTGTGATAATAATAATAATAATAATAATAATAATAATAATAGTCTTAAATACTTGGGAAGTGTTCGACTTGTGATTTTGTGATACGAAATCCAGCATATATATCTTGTTTGCTGTGACATGCTGTGTCAGTAAAATACTTCTCCTCCTCCTCCTCCTCCTCCTCCTCCTCCTCCTACTATTACTACTATTATTTATTTATTTATTTATTTACTGCATTTATTGACCGCCGCTCTCAGCCCTAGGGCGACTCGCGGCGGTGCACAACATATAAAAACAGTTTACAAAAAGGGCAAAACAGGGAATCAATACAACAATAATACACTATAATCTAGTTACACTAAATAATCCGCTCCGTCACATCATAGAATCATAACCAATATCGTAATCCGTATTCCATTCCAGTTGTCAATTACCAGTTGCCGTAGCGCTCAGTTGAATGCCTTCTCAAATAGCCAGGTCTTCAGGCTCTTTCGGAAGGACAGAAGGGAAGGCGCCTGTCTGATGTCAGCAGGGAGGTCGTTCCACATTATTATTATTATTATTATTATTATTATTATTATTATTATTATTATTATTATTGGGAGATAGTTTGGGAGCACCAAGCATACTGCTCATTCCCCTTTTGCATGATATTATAATTGTCTACTCCTTCTGTATCTCTTTCTGTCTCATACAACTGTAATGGCTGCTCCCTGAATCTGTGGCACTCCTTTTCTGGAAAACCTGCATTGGGAAGACAAATCAGTAGCTGTTAAAAACAGCCAGTACAATATACAAATCAGCAGATGATAAAAGCAGGTGACCAAATATTGCCTTTGTTGTGCAACATGAGGATCTTGCCCTCATAAGATTAAAAAGACTCTCTGGACTATTGAAGACAGACTTTGTTGACAGGGGTCTGCCTGCAAATAAAACAGATTTCACACTCTCGCTGCTTTGATGTTCTGTGGACCAAAGCAAAAATTGTCATTCTAGTTTGTCCCCTCTCCCTTCAGAGAAGTGGTTCTCAACCTGTGGGTCCCCAGATGTTTTGGCCTACAACTCCCAGAAATCCCAGCCAGTTTACCAGCTGTTGGGATTTCTGGGAGTTGAAGGCCAAAACATCTGGGGAACAGGTTGAGAACCGCTGCTTTAGAGCTCTGCTCATCTCATCTTGATAAGCATGCTCGATACTGGCACTTTAATCCATTAAATTTAACCTCTACTACCGTAATTGACGAACAACCAACTGCACTTTAAAGACTGCCAGTTTGCTACCGGGCACAATTCAAAGTGCTGGTACTAGCCTATAAAGCCCTAAACGGTTCTGGCCCAACTTACCTGTCCGAACGTATCTCCCTTTATGAACCATCTAGGACCTTGAGATCGTCTGAGGGGACCCTGCTCTTGGCCCCACCTTTGTCACAGGTACGTTTGTCGGGGACGAGAGACAGGGCCTTCTCAGTGGTGGCCCCCCAGCTATGGAACGCTCTCCCTAGAGAGATTAGATCTGCCCCCTCCCTCTTAACGTTTCAGAAACAAGTCAAAACATGGCTGTTTGAGCAAGCGTTCACAAACACAGAGTAGTGGATACAGGTAATTGACATAGGAAATGGATGACTGACGATGGAATTGGACAATGCTTGACAATAAGGAGACGCCAATGATGTCGTTTATTGTTGTCGTGTTATGTAATTTTAATGCTTATATGGTTATATTGTATTTGATACTATGTATACTGTTTTGTTGGAAACCGCCTTGAGTCACCGATTGGCTGAGAAAGGCGGTATACAAATACAGTAAATAAATAAATAAATAAATAAATAAATTTTACTTTGACGCACAGAATTTCACACAAAAGCCTTTTTTCTCTTTCTAGGTGAGATGCCTCAGTTGGTCAAAGGAATGAAGCTTTTAAATCAAGCTGATCCTTGTGTCCAGGTCTTAATCCAGGAGACAGGAGAGCACGTGATCATCACGGCAGGAGAAGTCCACCTTCAGCGCTGTTTGGATGACTTGAAAGAGAGGTTGGTTGGAGATACTATGAGAGAGTGAACACTCAGGGTTTAAGCAGTTTTGGCAATATTTGCAAGTCAGTAAAGTGTAACTTTAGTTGTAACTTTTGTAATAATAATAATAATCTTTATTTATACCCCGTCATCATCTCCCCAACGGGGACTCGGAGTGGCTTACATGGGGCCAAGCCCGAACAACTTCAATATAAAAATACAAATTGCAGTAAAATAAACAACATAACATTAAAGTGGAACACATCGAAACATATAAAACAGTATTAGTCCGCCTCAGTGTGAGAGAGGCATCAATCTGAGAGACCTCAGTGTTAGTTCGCCTCAGTGTGAGAGAGGCATCAGTCTGAGAGAGCCCTCAGTGTGAGAAGGCCTCAGTGGTAGTTCGCCTCAGTGTGAGAGAGGCATCAGTCTGAGAGAGGCCTCAGTGTGAGAAGACCTCAGTGGTAGTTCGCCTCAGTGTGAGAGAGGCATCAGTCTGAGAAAGCCCTCAGTGTGAGAAGGCCTCAGTGTTAGTTTGCCTCAGTGTGAGAGAGGCATCAGTCTGAGAGAGCCCTCAGTGTGAGAAGGCCTCAGTGGTAGTTCGCCTCAATGTGAGAGAGGCATCAGTCTGAGAGAGCCCTCAGTGTGAGAAGGCCTCAGTGGTAGTTTACCTTAGTGTGAGAGACGTGCCAGTCTGAGAGAGCTCTCAGTGTGAGAAGGCTTCAGTATGAGACAGACCTCAGTGATAGTTTGCCTCAGTGTGAGAGAAACATCAGTCTGAGAGAGCCCTCAGTGTGAAAAGTCCTCAGCGGGAGAGAACCCTCAGTGTGAGAAGGCCTCAGTGTTAGTTTGTCTCAGTGTGAGAGAGGTGTCAGTCTGAGACAGCCCTCAGTGGGAGTTAGCTCTCAATGTGAGGAGGCCTCAGTGGGTAATAGGCTTTCAATAACGTGAGGCAAATCTATCGGTTTTTCAACCTAAACATTCTGACCCTATCCCATAGCACTACCCATTGGACATCCTTCTCCTGCTTTGTCTGCTTTCTCTTCACTTTGTATACTTTCTGTTTCTCAACATCAAATCCTGAAGACATTGAGACAGTGATTCTCTTATAGATTTCAAGACACCCTTCAGTCCTTCTTTTTGACCTTTCTTAAGGTGTATTTCAGGTTCTGGCCCAAACCTCCTTTTAACTGTTTCCATAAGCCTTAATTCTTCCAAAATTAGCCAGTTTCCATCATTTGTTTCCAGAGATGTCATTTTGACAGATTTTAAACTCATAAAATACATGAAGACTTTATACGATGGAGAGGAAGCAACCACGGCCAAGAGAAGCAGCTACAATGAACTGGGTTTGAATTAGCTAGTTTTTAATTAATGTTTTCTCAAAATTTAAGTCATATATTTTGTTGGAGGTTACTACACTGCCTCCTAGTTTTCTCAGCAAAAAGGAGGATTCTTGTCATCACGTTATTTATATACAATTTTACATACTTTCTCCGATTATTTGTTTTTATCCCTTGCTCATTCAGAATAATCCTAAAAACTCCTTAAGAGGCAATCTTTTGGAAAATAGCATTCATGCAAGGCAGTTAAGTTTCTCAGCTGTTAGACTGATATACCTAGAAAGATGCCCTGTGTTATCTGCACAGAGAAACTACTTCAAATCCTATCTGTAACTGGACTGATAAGCAATGTACCTGTATGCTGAATACATGAAGTTTGTGAGTAAAACAACTATGTTACTTTTAACAAAAACTACTTTGGTTTTTGACCACTTGAGAGCATGATTGAAACCAAGGGTCCTCAAACTTTTTAAACAGAGGGCCAGGTCACAGTCCCTCAAACTGTTGGAGCGTCAGATTATAATTTGAAAAAAGCATGAATGAATTCCTATGCACACTGCACATATCTTATTTGTAGTGCAAAAAACACTTAAAAACAATACAATAATTAAAATGAAGAACAATTTTAACCGCGTTGAGTCGCCGGCCAGGCTGAGAAACTGCGGTATACAAGTAAAGTAATAAATAAAATAAATAAATAAATAAATAAATAAATAAATATAAACTATATTTCAGTGGGAAGTGTGGGCCTGATTTTGGCTGATGACATAGGGTTGTTGTTGTTGTTGTGTGCTTTCAAGTCGTTGCAGAGTTAGGTTGACTGAGCAAGGGCCGGGCAAATGACCTTGGAGGGCTGTATCCGGCCCGCGAGCCTTAGTTTGAGGACCCCTGATTTAAATCAAGATGTTTTAAGGGAGAATAGATCTTTTGGGGAATCTGAAATAACGTTTCTGAAACACTGCTATGGGTTGTTGTGCATTGGCATATTTTTGTTCCTAACAGTATAAGAGGTATCCAGGGATATCAGTCTAACAACTGAGGACCTAAATTGCCTTGGATGAATGCTAGTGGATATTTACCACTAAGGAGGAGGTTAATTCAAGTGAGTTTTTAACTCTTCTCAGGAAGATAATACTTTACAAAAGGTTATGATTTCTAGCAAGGTCATGCCTTTCCAAATATTATTATTCCAAATAGTGTAAATGACAATTAATCTCCAAAAGCCTGTAGGAGATTCCTGGTTTTCCCAAATAGTTATGAATCTCATTTTCCAAAAGGTTATCGACATTCACATTTTCCAAAAGTTTGTTTTGAATTTGTGTGTTAGTCAGAACAGGCACATTTTTAGTGTAACTCCAGCCACACATATACATATAGTTTTGGGTAGACGGGGGTTAACACCCCGGTAACGTTTGTTTTGCTGTCTGTGCTCCTATTCAGAAGAATTCACCTCACTTTCTGTCCCTATGACAATAGGATTTTGAACATTTTGGCTTATTGTGGAAAGAAGGATTGGTGCTAAAAGCTTCAATTGAGACACCTTTTCCCCGTGATAATTCTAGGAGTGAATTTCCCTTCTTAGGAATAGATTTCCTCTCACTTCTTGTTATCTCACCTCTGTTCTTAACTATGAGTCTGTTGTGACTCAGCGTGACTCTGAGTCTGAAGCTGACCCCTGTGGGCTTTGTGAGCCAGAGTTCCTACAAGATGATGAAGAGGATGATGTGATGGGTTACAGATTTCTGTTCATGCTTCGGACAGGGTTGACGGTGAGGCTGCAGAAGGGGAAACAGCAAGTCAGTTCTCAGGGGAAAAGAACGTCAGTGAGAATGATAACGAGAGTGAATTCCCACACGGCCAGATGGAGATGTATTTGCCTCCTTTGCCTTCTCACGGTGACCGGTCCAGCTGCTGGACCAAGATGATAAGGGGTTAGAGAACCTTGAAGATAACGAATTAATGAGCAGGCAAGATCGTCTGCAATTAAGGGTCCGGAGAAGCTCTCACTTGGCAAGCAAGCGAGAAGCCAAGTGTGCCAAAGGTCATTGCAATGTGTTCATGTCTGCAAAGGGTATTTCGTCTTCTCACTGACACACAGGCGTTGTCAGTTCATCGTGGCTCTTTCCATGCAAACTTCTATGGATTAACTTTGGCCTTAAGCAGCACGCTTCTGGCTTCTTGAGTCTGGGATTTTGGGTTCTTGTGTTCAACTGTTTTTCATGGACTATTGTTTGACCATTGCTTAAAGGATTATGTTTCATGTTTTTGCCTTTGGATCTTGGGAACTGTGTCTTTGCATTTAAGCCTTTTTAGAACTTTGCATTTCTCATACTATGTTTTGACTTTGCTTTTTCTTCAGTAAACTACAAAATCTACAGCTTTGGTGTGGTGGTGTTTGGGAGCAAGGTGAAAACTATCCTGAGTCATATGTATTGTTGAAGGCTTTCATGGCTGGAATCACTGGGTTGTTGTAGGTTTTTTTGGGCTATATGGCCATGTTCTAGAGGCATTCTCTCCTGACGTTTCGCCTGCATCTATGGCAAGCATCCTCAGAGGTAGTGAGGTCTCAGAGGTAGTGAGGTCACTACCTCTGAGGTTGCTTGCCACAGATGCAGGCGAAACGTCAGGAGAGAATGCCTCTAGAACCTGGCCATATAGCCCAAAAAAAACCCTACAACAACCCTATGAGTCATATGTTTGTAACTTTGGGACTGCCTGTAATTTATAAAATAATTTCAAAAATTATAATTATGTGATAACTCACAATTGGAACTTTTGAAGCTTGCCTTCTATCAGGCATGAGGACTAAACTTTGGCTTTTGACTTCCTTTAGGTTTGCCAAGATAGAAATTAGTGCTTCGAAACCCATTATCCCGTTTCGAGAAACTATAACAAGGCCCCCCAAAGTCGACAGGGTGAATGAAGACATAGGGAAGCAGCAGAAATTTGCCGTTATACATTCCGGGAAAGAGGATCACAATAAAATCCCCGAAGGCGTGCAGGTGGATTCCGATGGGCTCATAACAATATCAACTCCGAACAAATACACAACTCTCGGGGTCCGAGCAACCCCCCTCCCCGAGGAGGTCACTAAGCTCCTTGAGGAAAACAGTGACTTAATTCGCACCATAGAGCACTTTGCATCTAATTTTAACGAAGGCAAGAAGACTGAGATGAGTCCTAAGACTCTGGAACAGATGCAGGAGTTCAAACAAAAACTGGAGCAACATCTCCAGGGCTGGAAATGGAGGAATGCCATCGATGACATCTGGTCCTTTGGTCCCCGAAAATGTGGGCCTAATATTTTACTGAACAGATGTAAAGACTACAAGAGATCTGTTTGGCAGTGTCTAGAAGGAGGCAAGCCCTCAAAGGAATCAAGTCTGCATCGGGATTTTGACAACAGCATCGTAAGTGGCTTCCAGTTGGCGACGCTTTCGGGGCCAATGTGTGAAGAACCGCTTATGGGTGTTTGCTTTTCGGTGGAGAAATGGGACCTGAGCAGATTCGAAGAGCAAGTGACAATGAGCAGACAAGATTCAGAAGAAGGGAAGGCGGCGGAACAGCCACTGACGGAAGGAGCACCCAGAGCCAAAGATCTTGAATCAGGATCAGAGAGTGACTTCCAAGATAGCAAGCAGCATTGTCTCAGTTCTTCTAATAAGCGTAAAGAAGATGCTGCGGTTGCTGATTGCTATGGACCTTTATCTGGACAGCTAATTGCAACCATGAAGGAAGCATGTCGTTATTCTATGCAAGCAAAGCCACAGAGGCTAGTAGCTGCCATGTACACCTGCGAAATTATGGCAACTGCAGAGGTGCTCGGTAAGAGGAAAGACAACAATGCACATTAAATGAGCTCCCTGTTAAATCGGTAGAAGACTTAGCTATAATGCTAATTGTGTAGTTGGAATTGTTAGTAGCAATAGTACTGTTTAGCACAGTGTTTCTCAACCTGGGGGTCGAGACACCTGGGGGGTCGCGAGGGGGTGTCAGAGGGGTCACCAAACACCATCAGAAAAAACAGTATTTTCTGTTGGTCATGGGAGTTCTGTGTGGGAAGTTTGGCCCAATTCTATCATTGGTGGGGTTCAAGGGGTTCTTTGATTGCAGGTGAACTATAAATCACAGCAACTACAACTCCCAAATGTCACGGTCTATTTTCCCCAAATCCCACCAGTGTTCACATTTGGCCATATTGAGTATTTCTGCCAAGTTTGGTCCACAGTGCTCTCTGGAAGTAGGTGAACTATAACTCCAAAACTCAAGGTCAATGCCCACCAAATCCTTCCAGTGTTTTCTGTTGGTCGTGGGAGTTCTGTGTGGCAGGTTTGGTTCAAAAAAGTGATCTTGTTTGCTGTGGACCCATCTTGTTGTGTTAATAATAATAATAATAATAGTAGTAGTAGTAGTAGTAGTCTTAAACACTTGGGAAGTGTTCGACTTGTGATTTTGTGATATATTATTATTATTATTATTATTATTATTATTTACTCACCTCTCCTTGTAGCTCAAGGCAGGATAAAACAGTAAAATAAAACAAAACACTATTAAATACATATATCAAATATACACAGGTACATACAGCCTGCAGCTTAACATTCCACAAATTAAAATTGACTGGATCGACTTGCAGGAAAGTTGGGTTTTTGGTTGCGTTTTAAATTCTGACAACAGATGTAGCTGTTGAATCTCTTCCCCTTCTAGTTTTGGTTCTTCAATATCTGATACATCTGAGGCTTTTGGGGTTTTTTCCCCTTATTATATGGCTTTTGGCCTGTCATGATGTTTTGTGAGACCTCTTTTACTTTCCTCATCGTGTTTGTTTAGAAAATTAAATTTCTGAAATGTATCAAAAGAATGGGAACTAATGAGTCTCTGTGCTTTTGCAGGCCGTGTCTATGCAGTCCTGTCCAAGAGAGAAGGCCGGGTGTTGCAAGAGGAGATGAAAGAAGGGACGGACGTGTTTATTATTAAGGCGGTGCTGCCAGTAGCGGAGAGCTTTGGCTTTGCTGATGAAATCAGGAAGCGGACAAGTGGCTTGGCCAGTCCACAGCTGGTGTTCAGTCACTGGGAGGTAAACATCCAGTTCGCGGGCTTCTGTCTTGATATGTCGCTTCTTGTAGATGAGGGATACAATCATGCAAGGGAGAAGAGAGGTTAGATTGTGGGCTGCTGATTTCCTTATTCAATCTTAAATATCTTGACACAGTTCATAGAGCAGTTGTTCTTTGGCAGCTGACATGCCTTCAGTGTTGATTGAGATTATTGTCATGGTTGGTCCTGAAAAGGTCCGTTGGTTGTTTTGCTTGCTTGCTTGCTTGCTTGCTTGCTTGCTTGCATGCATGCATGCTGCAAGTCACTTCCGGTCGCTTCTGGAGTGAGAGAATCATATGAAAGCTGACTGGCACAACCTGGGGATCACAACCAGACACAGTGAAGACATCTGCCCTTGCTCTATGCTACTCTGCTGCTGAGTACGCATGCCCAGTGTGGAACACATCTCACCACACTAAAACAGTGGATGTGGCTTTTAATGAGACATGCCGTATTATCACAGGGTGTCTGCACCCTACACCACTGGAGAAATTACACTGTTTACCCGGTATTGCACCACCTGACCTCCGCAGCCAATAGTGAAAGGATCAAGGCAGAGACATCTCCAGCCCACCCCCTGTTTGGGTATCAGCCAGCATGTCAACGAATTAAATCAAGAAATAGTTTTCTAAGATCTACAGAGACACTCGCTGGAACACCTCAGCAAGCGAGAGTCCAAAAGTGGCAGGCTCAAACCCAGAACCTCAACCAATGGCTGATACCAAATGAGAGACTCCCCCCTGGGCACACATAAGACGGGGCGACTTGGAAGGCGCTGAACAGACTGCGCTCGGGCACCACGAGATGCAGAGCCAACCTCAAGAAATGGGGCCACAAAGTGGAATCCACGACATGCGAGTGTGGAGAAGAGCAAACCACTGACCACCTGCTGCAATGCAACCTGAGCCCTGCCACATGCACCATGGAGGACCTTCTTGTGGCAACACCAGAGGCACTCCAAGGGGCCAGACACTGGTCAAAGGACATTTAACCAACTACCAAACTCACAAGTTTTGTATTTTGTCTGTTTGTTTGTTTGTTTTGTTAAAAATGTAATACAAATGTCTGGTTGCTCCTGACACGATAAATAAATAAATATTGGTATCTATTTTTATTTTGAAATTTACCCATAGCTGCTGCATTTTTCACCTCGACTTATACTTGAGTCAATACGTTTTCGCAGGGTTTTTTTGTGGTACAATTAGGTGCCTCAGCTTATATTTGGAATGGCTTATCCCCGAGTATATAGGATAGATTAATTTGAGGGTTGCTTTTATTATTCTGTTCTCCAGGAGTTTCTTTTCTTGGGTGTGATCTTCTTTTCTTTGATGTGGCTGTTCTTCGTTATTATTGTAACTTTGCCTGTCCGTTAGAGTTAGCTTTTTTGAGATACTATTCCAATCCTTCCCAACTATGTTCAACTCCATTTCCCATTATTCCCAGCCACCGTGGTTGGCCATCAGCCAACACATCTGGCGGATACAAGTTTGGGGAAGGCTGGATTATGCAAACAAATGGAATAACTCTTCTGCGTTCCTTGGAGCAAAGACAGGACACAGATGCCATGGGTTGGTTCTGATTTGAAAGCGAATTGCCTTCTCATCCTGTGTTCGCTTTTTGACAACACATGGCTTTTGAATCTCTTTTTCCCCCCAAATAGTGGGATTAAAAACAGACATTCCTTTTAAAAAAACAAACTTTTAATCTTGTTTGCTTTGAATTGGCAACAAGTTTCCTTGCAGTATATACTGGAAACTCGTAAAAGGAATCTTAAGTGGAAGATGACACCCAGCACAAGGCTGGAAGGTGAATCTATATCCAAAATCAACATAAAAGCTTCTCTCTTTTCGTTTTCCTTTTAAACAACCAAGATTTTTGAAAAAAATCATTCTAGTTTAGTTGCAATCACTCATTTCCAACTTTTTCTGTTATGGAATACTTCAGAATATATTGATTTTATGTGGAAACCAGCTCTACCCCTGATTGTTTAATCAAAACAAAGATCATAGAGTTGGAATCATAGAATCATAGAGTTTGAAGAGACCTCGTGGGCCATCCAGTCCAACCCCATTCTGCCAAGAAGCAGGAAAATTGCCTTCAAAGAACCCCTGACAGATGGCCATCCAGCCTCTTGTTTAAAAGCTTCCAAAGAAGGAGCTTCTACCACAATCCGGGGCAGAGAGTTCCACTGCTGAACAGCTTTCACAGTCAGGAAATTCTTCCTAATGTTCAGGTGGAATCTCCTTTCTTGTAGTTTGAAGCCATTGCTCCACGTCCTGTTCTCCAAGGCAGCAGAAAATAAGTTCGCTCCATCCTCCCTGTGACTTCCTCTCATATATTTATACATGGCTATCATGTCTCCACTAAGTCTTCTCTTCTTCAGGCTAAACATGCCCAGCTCCTTAAGCCGCTCCTCATAGGGCTTGTTCTCCAGACCCTTGATCATTTTAGTTGCCCTCCTCTGGAGACATTCCAGCTTGTCAATATCTCTCTTGAATTGTGGTGCCCAGAATTGGACACAATATTCCAGGTGTGGTCTAACCAAAGCAGAATAGAGCATGGGTAGCATGACCTCCCTGGATCTAGATACTAGACTCCTATTGATGCAGGCCAAAATCCCATTGGCTTATTTTGCCGCCGCATCCCATTGTTGGCTCATGTTTAACTTGTTGTCCACGAGGACTTCAAGATCTTTCTCACACGTCCTGCTCTCGAGCCAGGCCTCATTGTCCCCCATTCTGTATCTTTGCATTTCGTTTTTTCTGCCAAAGTGGAGTATCTTGCATTTGTCCCTGTTGAACTTCATTTTGTTAGTTTTGGCCAATCATCTCTCAAATGTGTTAAGGGGAAGGTACCCCTATTTATTTATTTACCATGTCAGAAGCAAATTGAGGATACAGTTATAATGTATTAAAAAAAACACAAACAAAGTTAAAAACTTGGCATTATACTATATTTCCTTTGACCAGAAGCTAGCCACTTGGAGTGCCTCTGGTGTGGATGTGAGAAGGTTCTACATTGTGCATGTGGCAGGACTCAGGTTGCATTGTAGTAGGTGGTCTGTGGCTTGCTCTTCTCCACACTCACATGTTGTGGACTCTACTTTGTAGCCCTATTTATAAAGGTTGGCTCTGCATCTCATAGGGCCAGAGCACAGCCTGTTCAGCACCCAGTTTTCTGTATGCCCAGGGGGAGTTTCTCATCTGATATCAGCTACGGATTGAGGTTCCGTGTTTTCACCTGCCACTTTTGGACTCTCGCTTTCTGAGGCATTCCTGCGAGTATCTCTGTAGATCTTAGGAAGCTGTTTCTTAATTTAAGGCATTGGCATGCAGGCTGTTATCTGAACAGAGGATGGGCTGAAGGTGTCACTGCCTTGATCCTTTCATTACAGATTGCTACTTCTCAATGGTTGTCAGGTGGTGCAATACAGTATAATTTCTCCAGTGATGTTGTGTGTAGACATCCTGCAATAATGTGGCATGTCTCATTAAGAGCCACATCCACTGTTTTAGCATGTTGAGATGTATTCCACACTGAGCATGATTTTAGAGTTTTGTTTAATACTGGTAGCCAGATTTTGTTCATTTGTTCATTTTCATGGTTTCCTCTTTTCTGTTGAAATTGTCCACATGCTTGTGGATTTCAATGGCTTCTCTAAAATCAGGAGAGTAAGTAAAAAGCAACACTCAAACAACAGGATAATTTCTGACATGAAACAATCAGGGCCAGCTAACACCTCCCCTCAGCTATGGAACGCCCTTCCTAGGGAGATTAGATCGGCTTCTTCGCTCCTAGTATTTTGGAAGAAACTTAAGACATGGCTATTCGAGCAGGCATTTGCGAATACTGAGTAACAGACATACGAACGGAACAAGTGCATGACGGGACTGGACATTGTTTTAATGAGTATTTATTGAATTATGTTTTATTACAGTGTTATGGTTTTATTGATGTTGATGTTTTATATTGTAATTCTGTTCTTGGTGGCATTGAATTTTGCCTTGTAAACCGCCTCGAGTCGCCGGAAGGCTGAGAGGGGCGATATACAAATATAGTAAATAAATAAATAAATTTCCCCAGCCAGAAAGCAGCCAGGCTTTGAAGCTGCAAGGCCATTCAATGCTAATCAAGGTGGCCAGTTGCAACACTCACACTTGCCTCTAACAGACAAGAGTTCTTTCTCCCATCCTGGACATTATTTCACAGATATATAGACCCACTTGCCTAGTTTCCAACAGACCTCACAACCTCTGAGGATGCCTGCCATAGATGTGGGTGAAATGTCAGGAGAGAATGCTTCTGGAACATGGCCACACAGCTGAGGAACAAATAGAGATTCCTGTTTAAGTTTACTAGCAGATCTTCCAAATTGTGCCTTTTGAGTTTGACCCATTTTCAAACATGTTTGATTTTTATGAGAGGTTTGAAAGCTGCAGTTCTCCGATCTGTATTCGCCTCTTTATTCCACCAAGGCAGCTCTTTTATGCATTCTTCTCTTTCGTAGGTCATTTCTGACGACCCATTTTGGGTCCCAACCACAGAGGAGGAGTACCTGCACTTTGGGGAGAAGGCGGACTCTGAGAATCAGGCGCGCAAGTACATGAACGCGGTGAGGAAGCGGAAAGGACTTTACGTGGAAGAGAAAATTGTGGAACATGCTGAGAAGCAAAGGACGCTCGGCAGAAACAAATAACAGGCTCCATCCACTTCGGCATCTCAGTTAAGTGGATTGTCTTCTAAAACGGAGTCACCTTGGATACACTGCTCTTTGCCCATTTTCTTACTGTCAGAAGTGTGTGGTTTGAGTTTTAATAAACCTAAGCCTTCTCAACCTTTGTGTTTATGATACACCAGCACTTCCTTACTCTTACGGTAGCGGCATTCAAGCTTCCTGTCTTCTGGAAACCCTTTTTCAAATACTAATCTGCCAAGGAATGTCACCAGTTCTGCCCCCAAATTCATGCATGCTGTGGAGCAGCGTAGAATGGAATAAATGATTGAAAATATGATCATTAGATTAGTAAACAATGTTATATAAAATCTTATGGTGCTCTCCTCCGACACCACATTTCAAATTAATAATAATAACATCGAGGTGGGATACAACATTGTTAAAATAAGAGAGAAACACTATTAAAAGACATACAACGAGATACACAGAGTTAAAATTTGTAAGGATGATTGGTATTTATCTCATATATCTTTACACATGGAGACTACATCTAACTCAGGTATGTGCAAACCTAGGCCCGGGGGCCAGATGCGGCACCTTGGGCTTTTTTCTCAGGCCCTCCTCACTCTCACCATCCTATCCTCCCTTCCTTCTCTCTTTCCTTTCTCCTTCCCTCCCTCTTTATACTCTTTCTTCCTTCCTCTCTTTCCTTCCTCCCTCCCTCCCTCACCTGCCTCTTCCTCCCTCCCTCCTCCCTTCCCTTCCGTCCTTACTTCCCTCTCTCCCTCTTTCTCTTTCCTTCCGTCTCTCTTTCCTCCCCTCCCTCTTTCTCCTTCCCTCCATTCCTTTCCCCCCTTTCTTCCTTTTCTCCTTCCATCTTTCCTCCCTCTCTCCCCCTTTCTCCTTCCTTCCTTGCTTGCTTGCTTCCTTCCTTCCCTTTTCTCTTTCCTACCTTCTCTCTTTCCTTTGTTCTTTTTTCCTTCCATCCATCCTTCTCTTCCTCCCTTTCTTCTTTTTCCTTCCTTCCTCCTTCTTTCTCTCCCTCTTTCTCCTTCCTTCCTTCCTTCCCTTTTGTCTTTCCTTCCTTCTCTCTATCCTTTATCCTTCCCTTCCTTCATTCTTCCCTTCCTTCTATCCTTCTCTCCTTCCTTCCTTCCTTCCTTCCTTCCTTCCTTCCTTCCTTCCTTCCTTCCTTCCTTCTATCCATCCTTCCTCCCTCTCTCCCTCTTTCTCCTTCCATCTTTCCCTTTCATTCTTCCTTCCTTCTTTCCTTCCTTCCTCCTTCCTCCCATCACCAGGCAGCCAGTCCTCTTGGCCTAATGTAAGTATATGACTGCTTTTTAATGTATGTTATGTATTAGTATGTTATGGGGTGTGATGTTTTTAAACTACTCTTCATGAATCTTGTTGTAAACCGGCCTGAGTCCCTCTCCGGAGGTTGAGAAGACCGGTATATAAAAGTTCTAAATAAATAAATAAATAAATAAATAAATAAATAATAGTCCTCCTCGCAGGGAGTGCTATCATGTGGTCCCCAAGTTAGAAAGTTTGCCCAAGCCTGGTATAAGCTCCTTCATGGCTGCCCTCCCAAGTTCTACTTTTCTGATTCTTTGATTACAGTCTCTATATGATTTAGGAACAGAAAGCAGTTGGCTATTTTTATGTCATCATCATCCATCTTGAGATTGTCTACATCATCTGTGGCCATCATCTGCATTAATTGCGTGAAAAGTCTTTTCCGCTGTTTCTCCTGTTATATTGAAGAATGAAACAGTTCATATAGTAACATATACAGAAGACATAATCCCAAACCCAATGATAACTGAACGTTTCATTCCAAGCCAAAAGTTGATGACATTTTTAAATCCCAGTTGCCATAGTAACATTTACTTAGGGGATGAGGGGGAAAGTGATTGACACTTGGGAAGCACAGCCAAGTGACGGATTGACAGGAAGAGTTGTGTCAAGGACCACACAAAAAGTACACATTTAATAACACTGAAATGGTGCCGATCAGGGAGGTGAGGCACTCTTCGTTCTGTAGACAGAAGGGTCACTGCGTTGTCAGTCTCTTCCTAAAATGATGCTGCTCTCATTTTATCGTGGACATTTTAAACAGAGTAAATGTGACACCAATTTGTTTTAGTTCAGTGTTACTTTTGGATGTTTTGCTTCCTAAGTCCATTCCTTTCCATTTCCACAGTAATATGATTCTATTTCGTAAATGTACAAAATGCACTTGAGCGCACATCCCAACACACATTGTGTGCACATCCCAACACACAGACGGAGGGCCTGATTCTGGCAGCTCAAGAACAAACCATTAAAACAAATGCCATCAAAGCCAAAATTGAAAAGTTGGCAATTGATCCCAAATGTAGACTCTGCAAGGAAGCAGAAGAAACAATAGATCACATCTTCAGCTGCTGCAAGAAGACTGCGCAAACAGATTACAAGCAGAGGCATAACACTGTTGCTCAGATAATCCGTTGGAACTTGTGCCACAAAGACCATCTGCCTGCAACAAAGAACTGGTGGGATCACACGCCTGAAAAACAAACATGTCAAACTACTCTGGGACTTCCAAATTCAGTCTGAGAGTGTTTTGGAGCACAGTACTCCTGACCTCACGATAATGGGGGGGGGGGGGGGCACCAAGTATGCATCATTGATGTTGCAATCCCAGGTGACACCAGGATTGAGGAGAAGCAATGGAAAAGCTTACACGATATGACGATTTAAAGATCGAACTGCAAAGACTCTGGCACAAACCAGTCAAGGTGAGTGCGGTGCCTCAAGACCTTGGGCTGCACTTAAAAACAGTTGGCGCTGACAAAATTACCATCTGTCAGCTGCAAAAGGCCACCCTGCACACATTATTCACCAGAAGTATCCGACGTGTGATCGAATACAAAAACCAGCATAGTGGTCTTTTTTGCTATGTACTTATCTTGTTATATATCAAATAATAATGATAATAATAATGCAATTTTATTTCTTACCCGCCTCTCCTCGAGGCACAATATAGTTAAAACACATCATCATATAAGTATTCAGTAAAATGCATATATTAAAACACTAGCTGTCCCCTGCCAGGCGTTGTTGTGGCCCAGTCTGGTGATCTGGAAAATAAAGTAATGAGAAAGTGTTGGTTTCTAATTGATGTAATTTCTTGATGCTTGTGGGTAAACAGTATTTTTTGTTACTTCTTTGTCAGTGTTGATGTAGAGATTGTCTGGTTTGCCTACTCTGGAACATGCAACATATAATTGTCCTTCTTTAGGAGTTCCTTTCAAATCTAGGATACTATATCTGTGTGTGTGTGTGTGTGTGTGAATCATATATATATCTATATCTATGGCTGGATGGCTCTTTGTCAGAAGGGCTTTGATTACCTTTTCTTGCTCTGGCGAAGGGAGTTGGATTGAATGGCCTTAAGTATTTTCTGTTGGTCATGGGGGTTCTGTGTGGGAAGTTTTCCCCAATTGTTGTTGGTGGGGTTCAGAATGCTCTTTGATTGTAGGTGAACTATAAACCCCAGTAACTACAACTCCTAAATGTCAAGGTCTATTTTCCCCAAACTCCATCTGTGTTCGTATTTGGGCATATGGAATATCTGTGCCAAGTTTGGTCCAGATCCATCATAGTTTGAGTCCACAGTGCTTTCTTGATGTAGGTGAACTACAACTCCCAAATTCAAGGTCAATGCCCACCAAACCCTTGTAGTGTTTTCTGTTGGTCATGGGAGTCCTGTATGCCATGTTTGGTTCAATTCCATCATTGGTGGAGTTCAGAATGCTCTTTGATTGTAAGTGAACTTTAAATCCCAGCAAGTACAACTCCCAAATAACAAAATCAAAAAATTTTGAGTGAAGGACATACATTGGGTTGTTAGGTGTCTTGTGTCCAAATTTGGTGTCAATTCGTCCAGTGGTTTTTGAGTTTTGTTGATCCCACAAATGAACATTACATTTTTATTTATATAGATATCTATGGCTGGATGGCTCTTTGTCAGGAGGGCTTTGATTGTGTTTTCTTGCCCTTGTGAAGGGAGTTGGACTGGATGGCCTTAAGTATGTGGGTTCTGTTTGGGAAGTTTGCCCCAATTCTGTCGTTGGTGGGGTTCAGAATGCTGTTTGATTGTAGGTGAACTATAAATCCCAGCAAGTACAACTCCCAAATGACAAAATCATTTTTTTTTGAGTGAAGGACATACATTGTGTTGTTAGGTGTCTTGTGTCCAAATTTGGTGTCAATTCGTCCAGTGGTTTTTGAGTTCTGTTAATCCCACAAACGAACATTACATTTTTATTTATATAGATTTCTGTTCAAAAGAATGAAAGGGACTAGGATACCCTGGCATCTCTATCCCTGCCAAAAAATGATGTCATCCCCCTCCCCATTGCCTGCTCATTACTTCGTCTGCAGCCTCTTTCGTTTGCAGAAATGCAACCGGGCCTTTTCTTAAAGGAACGATGGAGTCCAATATTTTAATTGCCTAGCAAACCTCATGGGGAAAATTGTGTGAGAAAGAGAGAGAAAGCCATGGCAAGAGCAATATTACATGGTTAGGTTTTCATGTCCAGCCTGTGTGATGGTGTGAGAAGAAGAAAACTGAGGTGTAGATTTACTCTAAATCAGCCCTCTAATCATTGCTGACTGGTGTTTCCTGGTATGGAAGAACCTGGCATGATTCCTGCTCAAAAATGGAGTAAAGGAGAGATTTAATGTGAGCCTCCAGCCACTCAGTGCATGGCATGGGAGGTCAGTGATTTTCCCCCCTAACAAATAGTAACTAAAGAGTACCTTGGTCATTTGAAATAATGGGAAACTCAATGCTTTTGAAAAACTGCAATTACATCACTAGCTAAGTACTTTAGGGATTAGAAGTATATTAATAATGTATTATTCCTTAAAGATAATATTCTGAGCTCTTTTATGCCCACAGCCTGTTCACTCCATTTCTCCCTTTGCAAGTAGGTAAACAAAAATAATCAGAGAGGGAAAATATGGAATATATGCAACCTATAAGTCATGAAAATCTATGAATCACTCTTAAAGAAATTAATATTTGATTTTCAGGACAAAAGACTTTTGTCAGGTCAGAATACAAAGAAACAGAACACTTTCCCAATTGATAAGGTCAGCATTTAATCACC